TGTTTGTTCAGAATAAACTTGTGAAGGCTTTAAATATCATGATACTCTGCTGTACTTGCTAGAACAGACTATAATGACAACTCCTCTGGAAATGCTCACATAGCAGATTAAGAAACTCCTTTGCTTTGCCAAGCTGAGTTCTGGGACCAAATACTGCAAGGAAAAACTGTGTTGTCGTGGTAATGTAACAGAGAGTCTTGCATTATCTTTAGGGGACCCAAAGCTTATCATCAAGGAGAACAGATCCATAGTAGAGGAGGTAATAGTGCAGTTTGGGAAGCTTCTCCCAGCACTGTCTGACAGAACGTGACCTGATGGCTGATAGTTGGTTTGCTTTAATGTCTGAAAGCATTCTTTCAGAAAGATCAGACTGTGGATTGGCATGACAGGACAAGATTCAGTGTGGATTATTTTGGTAAGGGTCGCTTAAAGAGAAAGGACAAATGAAAACAAATAGAACGTCTGGGATTGTTGTTCAAACAGCTGTTTACAGGGAGACTGCAGACTGAATGCATCAAAGTAATGAGTTGCAACTGTTTTACTGAAAATATATGATTTACATTCAGAAACACATTAGTTGCTTTGTTTCCAGTGTGTAATTGGTGAGAGTATTAAACTTTAAGTGTATCCCCCAGATGTATTGTTAATCTGACTGGAATTCCTCAAACTTTGGTTTTCTTTCATTAAATTAATTGAAATAATGCTGTTTCAGTTTTGTTGCCCGAAACACATAGCTATGGAAAAGAAACAATTTAAAAAGTGTGCCATTAGGCGCCTTTCATCTCTGTTTGATACAGGGAACAACTGTATCTTATATTTTCAGAAGAAATGGGGAATATAAGTTATATTCTATTGGAAGGGAAATGAGGGCTAAACTAGACATGATGGTTGCTAACATGATTTGCACTTCTGTGGTTTATTTTTCTTTAACGTAGAGCTGGCACATAGTGCAAGTGGGGGATGAGCCACATTGGGATGACTGCACAAAGGAGCTCTTTCCCACACATGTACCTCCTATTCACAAGAAGAGGAAAACTCTCCTGGCATCCATGGGAACTGTCCTCCTCCTGTTAATGCTAGGAACTGTAGGGTTTAGGGACGGGTTCATGTTCACACACACACACCACAAACACATACATTTAAATTTTGCGGACATTTATTTATATATTTAAGCCAACATCCACATATATTTTTTTACTACAATGGCCAAAGTATCCATGTTGTCCCATGACCAAAATCTCTAAAGTTGGGTAATGCCTTTAAGTAACATGTAATCTTGCACACTCTCCAGATTACCTTATCAGGCTACCGTGTTTCCCCGAAAATAAGACAGGATTTTATATTAATTTTTACTCCTACAAATGCATTAGGGCTTATTTCCAGGGGATGTTTTATTTCTTTCATGTACCACAATCTGCATTTATTGAAATACAGTCATGTCGTCTTCTTCTGGATGCTGCACAATGGTGGAGGGTGGGGTTTCACTTAACTAGGGCTTATTTGGGGGGTAGGGTTTATATTAGGAGCATCCTAAAAAATCATAGTAGGGCTTATTTTCGGGTTAAGTCTTATTTTCAGGGAAACAGGGTAGGTGGTAGAAAAAAAACACATGAGTGAGTGGGGTGTGTAAGGGAAGAAGCAGGGCAGCCCAAAAATCATCTAGAGGCAGGATGTTCAAAAGATTGTGAAATTCTAATTGGTCTACCTGTAGGTTTTGGTTGTTTCTGGGTTTCATGGGTCCAACATTAAAATAGTTATGGAATAGCAATACAGAAGACACTGGCACTATTCTGAAGAGGAGCGATTTACAGCATTATGCTTTTCCAGGTGTACCGAAATGCTGGTAACAAATATAATGCTGAAAGCCCACTTTTGTTTCTTCATCACATAGTAAGGGGGAAGAAGAGTAAAATATGATGGAAAGTGGTGAGTTCTGATATGTTCCGCCCTCTATGTCTCTACTCAACCCTTCTGTACAGCTGCTTTGCCCAATTATGCATCTGGCAAATCCAACTGAGAAAAAGCTGGTGGGTGGGCAGGTTGTAGGCACAGGGACGATTAATCACTTTCCTCTGTTGTAAATTCCTTTCCTCACTTCCCACTGGAGCAGCTGAGCTGAGCAGGTTCCCCTTGACATTTAGTCCAGTCGTGTCTGACTCTAGGGGGCGGTGCTCATTCCAGTTTCCAAGCCGTAGACCCAGCGTTTTTCTGAAGGCAGTTTCTGTGGTCACGTAGCCAACGTGACTAGACACGGAACACTGTCACCTTCCCACCGTGGTGGTACCTATTTATCTACTCACATTTTTACATGCTTTCAAACTGCTAGCTTGGCAGGAGCTGGGACAAACAATGGGAGATCCCTCCATTGTGGGGATTCGAACTGCTGGTGTTTTGACCTTGCAGCCCAGAGGTTTTGCAGTTTAACCCACAACGCCACCACTGTACACAAGGTGCCATGCCTGTATACCTATGCTGAAATAAGAGCAGGGAGCTGGGTGGCCATTGCAAAATACAAATATGAGAATAGGCAATACCTTTATACCTATGCTGTGTACTGTGATGAGATTTAATACACTCTATTAAAATATCAATTATCATGAAACACTGGAGGATAACAACCATAAAAACTGTTTTTGCCCAAGTGTAATTCTATTTTTATTCACTGATTTAGCCATTAGTTGATAACAGCACACATAGCATGCTATTTAGGGTATAAATGTAAATGAGTGTGGTGAAATGCCCAAGTCCCTCCTGTCCATCATATGGAGCTCTAGGGCAGGAGCCTATGGCAGGACAGGAGGGGCGGAGTCAGAAGGACAGTTGGAGACTGAGGAGGGTTAGAGAGAAGAGGTTTTGAAGTGTTAAGACAGAGACTGGAAAATTGGTGTGTGTTAGAGAATAGATAAGAGATAAAAGTAATAGAAAATAGATAGTCATAACAAATTGTTACAGTGGTTAATGTGAATGAATGCAAACAAGCAAACATGTAATCCTATCCAAGTTTAATGACTGAACAATAAAAGAACATCTATGACTTTACTTCTGTGATTTACCAATCAAACAATAAATAAACCTGTTATATTTGGCAACCTGTGTCTAAGAAACATATTTGGTACAGTGTGGATAAAGATCCACTGGTGGCAGCATGTAAAAGGGAGAAAATAGTATATTGTGTCCAAAGGTGGACCTGTGTTTGAGGGAAAACAAACAGGGGACACTAGGGGGAGCGCGACAAAGAGCACCTTTTAAGTTGAAATAAAACCAAACAGCAGCATCAATTTAAGAACATCATGGGGCGGCTTTCAGAAAAACACACACACCTGAAAAGCTACTAGTTTCTTTTAAATGCCTGTAAGAGGAAAAATAACTGCATTCATAATGGAGGAATGAGAGCCTATTTTTATAGAATGTTGGTTGGTTGGTTGGTTTTAAATGTTTTTCCCCTGAAAAAATGCATTGCTTTTCCATTGTGTCCTCCAAAAGCTTTGGAATACCACTTCCTTCATCCTTGAACTGGTGCAGTAACATGTGGGCTACATGTGGTCCCCACTGGTTTTGCAGGGGGTTACTATGTAAAACTAACAATAAAAAGTGATGCCAAATGTGATGGACACCCATTAGAATAGAATTTTAGGATCAAACCCTCTAAGTATTAGGTAAAGGTTCCCCTTGACATTTAGTCCAGTCGTGTCCGACTCTAGGTCTCATCCCTGTCTCCAAGCCATAGAGCCAGCGTTTGTCCAAAGACCATTTAGGTGGTCATGTGGCCAGTGCAACTAGACACAGAACGCCGTTACCTTCCCACCTTGGTGGTACCTATTTATCTACTCCCATTTTTACATGCTTTCGAACTGCTAGGTTGGTAGGAGCTGGGACAAGCGACAGGAGCTCACTCGCTGGTGTGGATTCAATCTTACGATCTGCTGGTCTTCTAACCTTGCAGCACAGAAGCTTCTGCAGTTTAACCCACAGCCAACTCTTCCCATGATGCTCTAACCCCCAAACCAGCTGGAAATGAACTGAATGGCACAGTGTCACATACAGCACTGATGGTACCTGTCTGTCATGGGTTTGGAGGGAAAGTTCCATCCTATGGGGAGTGGAAGGCGGGGCATCAGGGGGGAGGAGCTGTACTGTATATATTTGGGGGAAGTCCTTTGTAAGAGAGCTGACGTGGAGAAGTGGAGTTGGAGTCTGTGGGTCAGACTGGGTACAACTGTTCGTCAGATAGTACATACCTGATAGGTTCAGGTTTCTATCTAGGTAGCCAGAACGGATAGGTTCAGGGTCTGTGCGTTACCTTAAAGTGTTCCGTGGGAACCAATCAGTTGTATGTGTATGATTGGGACTATACCAAGTTCCAGTATCCTATTTACCTGATCCTTTTATTTACCCTGTTTGTTTTTTCAATAAACCTTGTTCTCTTGTTTATTAAAATCCATTCCTGGTCTGGGTGACTTGGGAGAGCGAATGGTTGGTGGCAGCATAACTACAGGGTGGGATACTCCAGTAGGTCTGGGGTTGCTACACACAGAATGGCTACTTCCAAGTAGGGCAAGCCAAACTCATCAGTCACTTGTGATCAGAGGGGGTTGACAGAACAAACTATACATTTCTTGCAGAATCACACTCCAGAACCCATTCTGGATAGGAAACAGATATTCCAGAAAACAACCCGGAAGGGGCACTTCACTGTATAATAAACCAATCTGCCCCATCTAATCATGTGTGAGGGTCAAATTTGCTTAGAAATGGCTGTTGCTTACTGTTTTCCAGAATATAGATTTTCCACCAGAACAGGTATTGGAAGGTAGTTCCTGTTTTTGTGGTTTGTTACCTAACATTGCATCATGAATTTTGTTGAGTCTTCCTCCTTGAGAGTGGCCAATGAACTGTTGGATAGCTCAGTGGTTTAGGCATCTTACAGCAGAGCTACAGTAGAGGTTGGGAGTTCAGTTCCCCCCACTGTGCCTTTTTGACAGGGACTGGACACAATCCACAGGGTCCCTTCCATCTATGCAGTTCTGAGATATATTATTATTATCCTGAGTTGTTTTTCAGAATGCCCATGTTCTGCCTGGAACAGACACTAGAGTGTAGTTCCTTCAAATATTTTGTTGTATCAGTCCCTCCTAATTGAATGTGAATTTGGTTGGTTTGTACTACTCAGAAGATGCCTTTCTGGGATGTTTTCCAGAACATCAGTTTTCTGCCTAGGATAGATAGTAGACTGTGGTTCCTTGGGATGTTTTGTGGCTGGTTGCATCCACCCTCTCTTGTTGCATGTGAATGGTGAATTTGGGTGATTTGTCCTATGTGGAAGTTGCCATCCTGGACAGTTTTCCACAAAATCAATTTCTGGTCCAAAACAGGTACTGGAGTATGGCTCATGTTTCATTTGCATCTCTCTAATCATATGTAACTAGTGAATTTGGTTGACCTGTCCTCCTACCCAGATATGGGCATTGCAATCCATTCTGTTCTGCTATGCCTTGGGGTTATTAAAAGGTATAGAAAAGAGCAACATTTGCTATGTTTAATTTCAAAAATGTTGTTTTGATATGGGTCCATTACTCCCCAATAGTCATCAAGTGCTCATTCTAGCCTATTCCAGCTTTTAACACATTTTCTTGTTTCTCTCCTGAGTGAAACTGAACTTATGTGATGCTGACTTTTCTTGTCTCAGAAATAACTATAGCTGGTTTTAAACACCTTTTACAAACTTTAAACATCAGGACATTCTTTCAAAATCAAAGAGTTAAGGTACTGTTTTGTTCAGGAAATATAAAGAAAGTAGCATATACACTATAACACCTGTATCAGTTCCATAATCTGCTGTGGATGTCTGAAACCGCAGGTATGAGGGAATCTTATGTAAAACATAAAAAGATGTGGGACAAAGGCCACAAGGGGACACCCTTGTGTGTTGTATATAGGACTGCTGCAAACAGTGGGTAAGTGAAACCACAGATTTTCACAGATTGGTCCATCGGATACGGGGGTCCTGCTATATAATAATGTTTACATAACCCCAGAGTTCTTCTACAGAGTTCTTCTCTAACTTTCTTTGTACTTTGTATTTTCTGAAAGAAGGGTGATCTAAAGAAACTTTGGAGCAAAGTTGGTTCTTTATGCATACCTGACATACTGCACACACTAGAAAAAGGGAGAGAGAGAATGTTGAGTGGGTGGCATGAAAAATGCCACATTTGAACCAGCTCTCCATATGAAGCCTATTATAGAGAAATGCCTGACTCTGTTTTTGATCCCTTCCAGCACCCCTTCCAACTGCAAATAAATATGTTGTATTATAAACAAAGAAGGTCAGGCTGCATGTTAGTTTTCCTTATATTTTCCTAGAGCAAATATAGTTGTGTCCTCTTCCGCTCCTGCAGTCCTTTCGTCGCCACTTCCCCTGCTGTTGTACTAAAATGCAACTCCTCCGTTTCTTTGGAAGGCGAGGTGGGTCTTTTCTCCAGTTCATGAAAACAACCTGCTCTCCATCATTCCATTCTAATAGGCCCGGTTTTCTGTGATCGCTCAAGCCTATAATGAATGAAAATGTACAGACTGATGGCCATCTAACAACTTCAAATCAAATTGAACTCAAAATTCTTATCTGACTCTATATGTCACAACTGTCCAACCTATATATAAATATAAATATGTATACTTGTAGCAAGAAGTATCTTGATAGCTATACTCTACATTTAGAGATGTTTAAGATTTTGGAAGCTCACTGTGTGGGATTGTGTTTAGACAAGGGAAAAAGCCCGTAAGAGTGATTTAGCACCAGTAGCAGGAAAAATGCAATGAATGGCTCCAACCCCTTGGCCAGTCCTCTGATACCATCTGGTCAAGGCCACTCTTCATAAGACTCCAATATGTACTTAAGCCACAAGCTCTTCAGGCAAAAGGGAAACGCTCCAGAAGAGTGGTTAGCAGTTGGGAGAGAGGCCAAACCAACAGAGTTCCAATAAAAAGAGTTGGTGAGCCTGGAAACCCTTTACCAGCAACCTGAGAATTTCCCTCTGGTGGAAGACTGGAAGAGCTTGAGTATGAGAAGTTTTAAAATATGAGTATTTCAAAAAGACTATCTTAAAAAAACATTGATGGAAAATGTATTATCTTTGCTGTAATATCCAAACTGAACAATGACTTTCTGCTTCATACACACCTATCCAGAAAGATCTCCTTCCACTGAAGTTCCACAGCCATTTCATTTGCGATGTTGAAGTCACACTTACTAAACTGCCATGATACCTAGGTGTAAGAGATTTTTTTTAGAGTCAGAAGTAGCACCTGTCCTCTTGATTGAGGTGGAGAGCATACACTCCCTATAGTATTAATAGGTTATAATATGAAAAATATACAAAAAAATTGAAGCCATGAGAATACATTTTATGAAACCATTTAGGACAGCATTTTGTAATGGAGCACCATCCCCCACTTCCTTACATATTGTTGCCATGATTCCCTAAAACACAGAGCTGAAAGGCAATAACATACAGCATTTTGTAATGGAGCACCATCCCCCCCCCACACACACACACAAACAACACCATCTCCAGCTCCAGCAGGCTCCCTGTTGCATACCCTTTCTCGTACAGTACTGTTTGGGAAATCAGTCATGCAATTGGTCGCACAACAGGAAGTGACGTTGTACTCCTAACACACACACACACACACACACCATCTCCAGCTCCAGCTGGCTCCCTGTTGCATACCCTTTCTCATACAGTACTGTTTGGGAAATCAGTCACGCAATTGGTCGCACAACAGGAAGTGGCGCTGTACTCCTTATTTGCCCTGGCATTCTATATTTACAGGATATATGCCTCTGTATGTCTGGTATTTCTTTAATAGTAAGGGCTTTAGTACGAGAATTTGTAAGCAGAAATCTGTTCCTGGAACTGGGATTTCCCTACCTTCTCTCTGTTGAAGCCTCTTGTATCTCCCACAATCCTGAGGGCCAGAATCTGCTGCACAACCTCATGGAATGTAACAAGGAAAGATGCACACCGAGGAAGGAATAGGGAAAATTGCAGGTTCTTGTTGCCTCGCATTAGAAGAGGCTTCTATTCAAAATACAGTCCCTTTGGATCCAGCTTGTATCTCTAACCATATTTGAATACTATTTCTGCTGAGTGCACTACCCTAAAATATTTACTTGGAAATCAGTTTTATGAATTTCAGTGGAACATTAAGGTCAGTGTGTAAATGCAAGAAATTTAAAAAACTTTAAAGAGAAGGCCAGAAGTTCTAATTACTAAGCCCAATCAAAATTTCAAACACATTAGAGAAAAGAAATATACTAGTTTGTTGTTGTTTAGTCGTTAAGTCATGTCCGACTCTTTGTGACCCCATGGACCAAAGCATGCCAGGCCCTCCTGTCTTGCACTGCCTCCTGGAATTTGGTCAAATTCACGTTGGTAGCTTTGATGACACTGTCCAACCATCTCGTCCTCTGTCGTCCCCTTCTCCTCTTGCCTTCACACTTTCCCAACATCAGGGTCTTTTCCAGGGAGTCTTCTCTTCTCATGAGATGGCCAAAGCACTCAGGGTTGATTTCCTTCAGAATGGATAGTTATGTTCTCCTTGCAGTCTAGGGGACCCTCAAGAGTTTCCACCAGCACCACAATTCAAAAGCATCAATTCTTCAGCAGTCAGCCTTCTTTATGGTCCAGCTCTCACTTCCATTCATCACTACTAGAAAAACCATAACTTTGACTATGTGGACCTTTGCCAACAAGGTGATGACTCTGCTTTTTAAGATGCTGTCTAGGTTTGTCATCGCTTTCCTCCCAAGAAGCAGGCGTCTTTTAATTCTGTGGCTGCTGTCTCCATCTGCAGTGATCATGGAGCCCAAGAAAGTAAAATATGTCACTGCCTCCATATCTTCCCCTTCTATTTGCCAGGAGGTGATGGGACCAGTGGCCTAAATGCTGTAGGAGATTACTATCTCATTACCTAGAAAGTGGATTGTGGATAGAGCTAATAGTTATGTGAATTCCATTCTACTCATCTGTTCTCACCTTAACACTAAGACTACTTTAATATGCCCATAGGATAATAGCTGTTAATAATGTTGGACTTCACACTTATTCCAGGCATTTTTACAACTGTCCTTGTCTGGATTTTCTCTCCATCTTGTCTTCTCCCCATTTGGTTTTACCAGAGGTCATATGATACCTCAAAAGTGTACACATTATGGACATTTACAATTGGTTTTAATCAAAAAACTGCCTACCTATGAATTTGGGAATTTGGATGTTGTTTAACATTCAGATGGGGTGGTTCTTGTAGAAGCAACAAACACTGAATATAAACATTTTGGCTACAGTGATCCAAGACCTAATTTATAAAACTGAAGCCTTTAAAAATAGGCCCAACTGTTGGCATTGACTTCTGCTGGCAAAACTAAAACTCCACAGTTGGTGAAAGAGTAGCTGGGTGCAGGGGTATAAAACATAAGGCTTCTTACTTTCTCCTGCAACTCTGGGCAGCTACAGTCCACTTGGCTTTTGGATCAGTGATCAGGACATAGCATCTTCCATCATGATGGCTCCATTCAGGAGGACATGGTTTCACAGAAGCATCCTAGAATTAAATAATTTCACTTCAGAATGATTTGCTAAGTAGTGTCCACCTTCTGGAAAACTGAAATTGTGCCAGTTCAGAATTAGCTTGGGGAAGTGAACTGTTTTCCAAAACCCAGAAAATACTAGCTTCCTGTGACAATATCGTGCTTGAAGAAAATCCAGTTCCCAAGCAGACCCTACTATCATGCAAAGCAGCGGCAGCCCCCTTGCTACTCCTTATGTGTTCCTTGGCCTTTCCCCTTCTTTAGAGGACACTGCTGTGCGTATGCCATGCAGCCTCTCCAGCACTTCCTAAACAAGCCCAGTGCCCTGCGGCATGTTGGAGGACTCTATGCTGTTCCCAGAGGTGAAGAAAAATCTAACTTCCAGTCTAGTCAACTTCCATATATGGAATAGAGAAGTGTGCCAGCTTCTTTATCACCTCATGCACCAAAACATCTAAAGCTGTTTCTGGCTAGGAGAACCGACCCAGCTGCTCACACTCAAGAAACTGACCATTCTTGTTACAGAGCATGATGAGTCCACCTCTTTACTATACTGAAACAAAAAAAACCTACTGTATTTGATAGCAATCATGTTTTCTAGGTCACAAGTTATCCTGAAAAGGTGGTGAGTAGTCTGTGCCAAAGCAGTGTAGTGAGACAGATGGACAAGCGAACAACAGAAAATTGAACCATGACCAAACAGAGCCATGAAGTGAGTTTATAAACCCCAGCATTCCACCAGCCTCTACAACCCAGATACACCTTTGCTGAAAACTGGAGGGCTTGCAGACAGATATTACTGTTCTCTTTTTCCAAATGGTTTCCAGTTCAAACACACACGCTGATTGCTACCTTGTTTGGGTTAGTCCACAATGTCCAAGAAATTCCATCACATTGATACATCTTCTGGGTGCTTTCTTCAAAATGAAAGAAACCCTTCACATCCAATGTGCAGCTCTTTGGGAAGGAAAGGCTCTGGGCCTAAATCAGGAAGAGATGTTTACAAAAAGAGACAAAACAATTTTCATAGACTCTCTCTCCAATGTTTATAAATTAGTATTCCAAGCCGGCCTTTTGAATTTATAATGCTAATTTTCTAAATATTCAAACTTCTTTTATAGTTGATTATTGCTCAATCATTCAGACAGATCTTTTCTTCATCAGACTTGGAAGTGACATTGCTGAATATATATATTGGTAAATCTTTCAAATACTTTACAACAAGTGTGACCACAGTATAGACCGCATGCCACATGTGGCCCACCAAGACTTATTTTGTGCCTCCTGTTTGCCAAAAAAAACCAAAAACCATTCTTGAAAAGATCCAAACCCTACCTCACCAAAGGTATGTACACACACACACACACACACACACCCTACCTTACAGTGGATATTCAGTCACTTCAGGTTTGGATTTTTTTATTATTATTATTTTATTTTTTGCTTTAAAAAATTCAGTCCTGATGGAGCACCTGGTGGCACCTGAGGGGATCAGTTTTGCCCCCAATCCAACCAAAATTGCTCATCCCTTCCTTACAACACTCATTGCCATTTCTTCTCTCAATGACCATAAAATGAGCATTCTGATGCATGAAGGTGGAAACACCCACACACCCGCACATGAACATTGCATATCTGATTTACACTTTTCTGCAATAGTACATATGGCAGAATGCAGAAACAGAGAATAAAAGATTTTTATATCAGAATGTTGGAATCTGTAGAAATTCTGTTTTCTTGATAAAAAAAGTGTTGAAATAAAAAACTTTTTTTGAGATTAAATGTAATGGTAGCAGACCCATATATTTAAACTAGACTTTGACAAAACTAGTTACTTTAAAGATTTTTCCCCTCTTAATATCAGTGGCATAACTACATTACCCACCCCTCCCAAAAACCTAATTCCTTCTGTAGTTACTTTAGCTTTTTAGTCACTTGTCTAGTTACAGGTGTTTGGCTTCCCTAAATGTTGGAGAAGGAATATCACACAATTCAACCATTGACTTGTTTTGTGCTGTGTGTTAATGCTTAGTGCTGAGTTGTGGCAACAGTGACATGGTGCGTATTGTACCACTGGCACTAAAGTGTCATTTTTAAAAAATAACAAAAAACTTACTTTAAAAGTAAAAAATAATTTTAAAAATACCTAAAATAAAGCAGGGATTAACTGCTTTGAAGGGCCTTGGAAACACACAATGTGCTGTATGTGGGGCTGCCTTTGAAGACGGTCTGGCGACTGCAACTGGTCCAGAATCGAGCTGTGCGGCTGGTGAGTGGCGGGGCCGCTAGAGAACATATCAAGCCAATTCTGTTTAAGTTACATTGGTTACCAGTTGCTGCCCAGGCCCAATTCAAAGTGCTTGTTTTGACATGTAAAGCCCTAAACGGCTTGGGCCCTGGATACCTGAAG